GGGGGGGGGGGAGCGGGGAGGCTCCCAGTCCAGCCACTGCTTCCCCAATCAACCTCCTGAAACTGCCATTGGACTTTCTGAGCTCCCTCTCCCTCCAGCTTTTCCTTCCTATCCTGTAGACTCTGATGGCACAGTGTGCGTGAGAGATCCCAGCCACCCACAAGTTGGACAGCCCTTGGTTTAAGCCAATTAACAGGGGTTAAAGATTCTAGTATGCACCCTTCTCCATTCTATCCCAAATTTCTCAAGCCCGAAACCATCCAAATAAACACAAAGAAACACAAATTATAACAACTTACGCTGCCAAAAGCACAATCATGATTCTGGTGTAACTAAATAAATATATAGAGAGCGAGAGAGCGAGTCAGGGGGCAGAATTTGGCTCAAAAGCTCCCAGATGTTCAGAACCACACAACAACATCTTTCTAAGCTTGTGCAAAGGACGCATCATCTGCAACCCTCTAGCTCAGTGGGCCTCAACCTTTTTTGTACCAGGACCGATTTGTAAACTTAAATGGCCAGTCCCGACCCAGTGCCCCACACTCAGAGCCCTCCATCCCCAGGCCCCAGCCCCACAGTGTGTGAAGTTGGAGGGGGGTATGGCGCGGTGGGCATAGCGGTCCCCAAGCCACCCCTTACAGGCTAGAACTCTGCCAGTCTGCAAGGGAAGACCCTTGGTTTCCCACATTTTTCCCCTTTAAAGGAGAAGTCATTTTTAAAGTTTGTTGATCCATTTTTAAAGTTTGTTCGTGACCCTTTCATTTATTCTTGTGATCCACTTTTGGATTGCAAGCCACAGATTGAGAAACACTGCTTTAGCTAACACACACAACTCCATATATGCAATACAACTAGCAATTCAGGACAACTTCAGAAAAAAACATCTTCACCTAACCTACTCCAAAAGGGATCAACTTAACAGGACATTTACTTACATTACTTAACTGAGATACTAATCTGAAGACATACCTGGCAGTAGACCCAAATGTACTACCAAAAATACCTAGGGACAGCTATCCTACGCAAGAAGAAATGGTGGAATCAGCTATCACACCTCAAAGCACCACACCAGCAACAAAGGAGTCAGCAGTTTCCAGAACACCAACATGATTAAATTATCACAGCACCCCCATCCCACTCTGAAATATCTGTATTCTCCAAAGGCCTGACCTACTGCACAGAGAAGAAAACTTGAGAAGAATTATGTGGAGAATTAGAAGAATTCTTTCACAAACTTTGCCTAAAACAATACTTCTGTAACCAGGACACAACCACCTTTGACAATCATCCTGCCACAACCAAGTAATAATAAAACATTAGACTGGATATGTCCCAAAGGACATAACCACATGCTGGACTACTGTATAAACTATTCCAAGAAGAAAGCTAACAGTTGACATTCTAAACAAAAGCCAGGACCACAAAGACAAAAGCCAGGCAGTCCCTAAGATTTAACAATGTAAATGAATCTAACCTGAGGACAAAAGGTTTTGGAGCTATCACAGTTTGATCAAAAAACAAATCATATACTAAAAATGAAACATCTACTACAACATATTTTAATTTTATTTCAAAAAATATTTTTTGTCCTGATTTATGGGTTTTTTTGAGTCGTGTATATAGATTTGATTGCATAATAGCTAAAAATAAAGTCTTACTCTTGTATATTGTGTGTATGGTAGTTGGGTGTAGGGTGTGTATGGGGAGGGATGGAGGCTGCCCACACGCTAGGTTCCAGGACCTGGCCAGGGATTTCATAGAAGTTAGGGCTTGAGGGGACCTCGCGAGATCATTGGGTCCAGCCCCCTGCCCAAAGGTCATGAAGTCAGCTGGGGTCAGATGACCCCAGCAAGGTAAGCATCCAAGAGTTTCTTGAATGTACAGATGTTCTCTCAGTTCCTGATGCACACCCTTTACATACTTACAGGCTGCCACCAAGTCACCCTCTTCTCAAGGCTGAAAAGTCCCATGCCTCTCAGCCTCTCTTCATAAGGCCACCTTCTCCTGACTTCTAATCATGCACGTGGTTCTCCTCTGGACGGGGGGAGCAGGTGGGGGTGGGGCAGAGGATGCATGCAACAGAGCTCACCCGGGCAGTGCAGGTGCAGTCTGCCCTCTTCTCCCCAGTCTGGCCTGTGGCTGCCCCCACAGTACTATGCATGGGACTGAGACCACCCACTCCCGCC